GTATCATCACTTAAAACCAGGCCAGATGCTGACTGTGGAAGAGATCATCAGTTACTCATGTGAAAATTCAAATGGAGGTTAAAGAAAATGAAAACAAGTTCCTGGAACTAAAAGATGATACTGAGCCTATCCCACTTGAATTTATAAATTATCTTAAAAATAAGTTTGAAGCACTGAACACCGATGATCGAAAATGAGATGAGTTGTGGGATGACATTAAGGTTATCATACATGAAGAGAGCAAAAGTTCACTACAAAGAAAAAAAGAAAGAGAAAACCTGAAATGAATGTCAGAAGAGACAAAATTGCACTAGAGTGTTGAAAAGCCAAAACAACGGAAACAGATGCTGAAATAAAAGAGCTGAACAGAAGATCTCAAAAAGTAGTTTGAGAACATGTCTCAAGCTGAAAGAACTGAGAAACAAATTCAAGCCTCAAGCTGCAATACTGAATGATGCTATGGGTAAAATCTTTAACGACCCAGATGGTATCAAAAGATGGAGGGAATAAACAAAATTACTGTACTAAGAAGAAATTACCAACTCTGACATATATCCGTAAGTATCATATGATCAAGAGCCAATGGTAATGAAGGAACAAGTTCAAGTTCTAAGGCATTGGTGAAAAATTAGGCTCCAGGAATTGATGTGACATAAAATTGACATGTTCTTACTAACAGATGCAGTCCTGGACCATAAGGACTGTTGTGCAAGTAGAGCAGTTTTAAACACTACATGGTTTAAAATTAAGACAGGTGTGAGTCAGGGTTACATATTTTCACTGTACCTATTCAAATTGTATGCTGATCAAATTATTCAAGAAGCTGGACTCTATGAAGAAGAATATAGCATCAGGATTGGATGAAGACTCATGAACAATCTGAATTATACAGATGATACAACCCTATTTGCTGCAAGTGAGGAAGACTTAAAGTGTTTGCTGCAGATCAAACATGGATTGCAACTTAATGTAAAAAAAACCAAAAAGCTTTTCTCCATTTGCTCAATAGGTAAATCATCGAAACAGTCAGCAACTTCATCTTACTTGGATCCACAATTAACACCTTGGTACAAACAATCAGGAGATCAAGAAATGTATTGCACTGGGAAAGTCTGCAGTCTTTCCCAAGTTATCCAGGTGCAATGATAATCAGCTTCAGGACTAAGATGTGCCTGATTAAGGCCATAGTTTTCAATCACTTGCTGTGCGTCTGAAGGTTGGATGATGACAGAGAATTGATGGCTTTGAGCTATGTTATGTTGGAGGAAAGTACATGGATTATCAAAAGAACAAACAGATATGTCTTGGAGAAGGTGCAATCTCCTCGGAGGCAAACATGATAAAGCTTCATCTCACATAGTTTGGGCATGTTTCTAGTAGAGGCTATTCCTTTGAGACGGACATCATGCTTGTAAAGGTGGAGAATCAGTGAAAGAGAGCAAGACTGTCAGCCAGATGAATTGACAGAAACTACAGCAATGGGCTTGAGTCTGTCAGAGATTATGAGAATGACAGAGGATAGGACAGGGTTCAGATCTCTTTCTCTCTCTCTTTTTTTTTTAACCACTCAAACAGCTTTATTTTGTTTGCAGCCTTAGGGAGCAGATTGGCAGTTTGGATTCCTAGGAATTATGTCACTGTAGAGTTGGCACCAAATTATTTTTCTTTTTCTTTCTTTCTTTCTTTCTTTCTTTCTTTCTTTCTTTCTTTCTTTCTTTCTTTCTTTCTTTCTTTCTT